TAGCGAGGCCTGTCCTGCACCTTCTGATCCTCTTAGGAAAATGGGAATTCCGGGTTAACTAGATGCCAACCGAACACAAAGCGGACCCACCCATCGAGACGCATCACCAAGATGCACTTGGCAGGGGATACCTGCCAAGAAGGGGTCTTTTTTATGGCCTGGTGAAAGAGCATGTGCAGTGTTAGCTCTAGCGGAATGGAAACAAGGCCCTGGGCTCACAACAAGGCTAGCGTTCCTGCCACGCTAAACTGCCCCACTGCCCCCCTGCTGAAAGGGCGATACTCACGGCACCAGCGCCTCCTGGATGTTCCCCCACACCTGCTTCCCGGCCATCACAATGACCAGCTGGGTGGTCAGCTCGATCAGGCAGCCGCCGGGGTCACACTGCGGCCAGGAGAGGAGAGACGCACACAGACACAGCGTCAGGAGGCAGCCAGAGAGCTCATGATCAGCGGCCCGAGAACGTGCACTGCGAGACAGGCAGACCTGGCTGCCGTCTCTTTGGGGCCGAGATCATCTGTTTTGCAAAAAACGAAAGCCTGTTTAAGATTTACGCTGGGCGCTATGGTTTCTGTGAACTACAGCAGGCTGGTGATTTCTCATTTTGCACCGGTCGTGCAGAAAGAAAGGCTGTGTGTGTCGAGCAGAAATGTTGTTGCCACTTAATAAACATTCTGCCTTTGTCTTCCGTTTGCACCAGGTGACCCGGGAACTCAATGACTCCTTAGATTGCAATGACAAGCCCCGATTACAAAACATTTGATATCAGAGGGGAACTGCAGCCTCAATCTCGCAGACTGGTTATTAAATCTTGGTAGCAAAATAAATTGACTGACAGTGTAGAAACAGTTCACACATTCTGAATGAAGCACAAGATCTTTTGGTCGTTGTGAAAGTACTGTACGTCTCCATGTTGTCACAAACCCCTGGAGTTCCCACGTATTGTGACGTGATGCAGCCCTTCCTGCTCACTAGTCCCTGTCATGACTGATGTACTGTGATGTACGAGCGAATAAGTACAGGTTGTGCAGCAGACATTTCACTGCAGAGATGTCCCAATGTGATCTGCATGCAGAGTTAAGAAGTAGTATTTGTTGGCAAAACCGGCTCGAAGTTGAGAGCAATATTTCGATTGGATTAAGTGAGATGGATTCACAAGCCTGCTTGTTTACAGTGTAAAGGGCCACATCACCTCACTGGAAGTTTAGTTGATTCATTCTGAATCTCAGAACATGGCGCTGCACTGACCTGGAAGTTTTGTCTATTTTGTGATGGAAATTGGAGGTTTCTCAAATAACTGTGTGGATTTGACTTCCTGTGGTATTGAAAGCAATCATTGGCGATGTTTTCCCACCCCGAAATATAACAAATAGCATTGCAGTTCCCCTTCAAGACACACAGGTGGAAGAGACGAGCTCAGTGGTGACTAAAATCGGTTTCTCAGTGCTGCCTGATATCAATAGGTTTTAAAAATCTGTACCCCAACCCCCAGCACGGAAAGGAAACCAGGTACCTCCTCGTTCCTCCACTTGGCGAACATGTAGATGTATTTGCCAGGGTAGCCCACGAACTTGCCCTTGAAGAAGGCCACGTAGAAGCAGGAGGAGTAGTAGTTGACGAACTGGAAGAGGAACATCTTCATGGTCAGCCTGTTCTCGTACTCCAGGTGGGTCCGGGGGATCTCTAGGTGAAGGGAGACTTCAATTCAGACGCGACCCGAGATCTCGAGCTCAAGATGAAGTGGCTGACCTGATCGCCATCCTCCTCCTCCACACGCCCGCCCGTCCTCCTCCTCCTCACGTCCCCCCCGGCCCGCTTGTCCTCCTCCTCCTCACCCATGTCGGTGATCCAGATGGCCACGCGCTCGTACAGGAAGTTGAGGATCATGATGATGACGAAGTTGATGCAGGAGGCGGTGACGGAGGTGGCCATCTGCGGGGTGATGAGGGAGCCCACCAGCTGCAGCTCGTGGGCCGGGTTGTCCTTCATCAGGCTGGCGAAGGCGGCGTAGACGGCCAGGCGGTAGGCGATCACGCCGATGATGCAGGCGATGATCAGGGCGATCTGAGGGCACAGGGGAGACCGACAGGTTGAACCCCCCCCTTGTCCTGCTCACTGCACAGCACAGCCGCCCTCTGCAGGGCCCCCCAGCTGTGCAAGATGCTTGTGCAAGATCCCCCCCTCTCATACCACAGCATGAGCTGTAATTGTATCTTCCCTGGACAGCAGTGGCAGTAACCTCTCTCGGTCGGTCCCGGTTGGCCAGGGGCGCTCATTAACCATCTTCTTACTAACCGGCGTCCCGACCGAGGCTGCTACCAGTATTCTCCCTCCACAAGTCTTGTCTGAAAACCTTTTTCTCCGAATTGTCTTTGTAGATACTCACTGTCTTCCTAAACCGTGAGGGTCCGTGAAAAGACAACCCCCGACTGTCCTAGGAACTGCTTTTATAGGGAGCTACAGTCTCCTGGTGATTTCCCCGTGAGAATCCGAAGGATGTGGTTCTCCTAAACGGGATGACCCCACCCCTGGGGAATTCACCCTTGTTTCCTACCCCTGCTTTGCTACAGGCCTTCAGCATGGTTCCGGAATGTCCACCTCTACAAACTCAAGGCAATTTGGTGCCAGGCAAGAGAGTACTATTCAGCTCATCTTGCTTACATGATCCCTTATTTGCTAAGTGATTCTAAAATCTGGCACAACCTAGTCTTGAAGGGTCCCATATGTCTGATTTCTACAACACAGCCTTCTTTGAGCCTCCTGATTACAGTCCCAGAGGGATCTTCACTTAATTTTCTTTTGTAATGTCATGTCTGTATTTTTTTTTTTGCTATGACTCTTAATAGCCTCTTGTATCGCAAGAAAGGATTCTGAAAATCTGAAGCAGTCTCACTACAAGCAGGGATAAACCACATAACTTCTCTCGGTCGGTTCCGGTTGGCCAGGAGCGCTCATTAACCAGCTTCTTACTTACCAGCGTCCTGACCCGGAAAATGACTGAGGCTGCTACCAGTATTATCCTGCTGTAAGCTTTCTCTGATTTGTTGTGCCAGATGAAACCTCGGGAACTGCTGATATAGGGAGCTAGAGTCTCTAGGGGCAGCCAATTCAGTGATGTCCCCATGGGAATTTGAAAACTGACTCAAATCAGTGAGGAGCTGTGGCTCTGTGGTTAAGGATCTGTGACTGGGAGGTTGCCGGTTCAAATCCCGCAGCCGGCAGAGGAATCCTACTCCGTTGGGCCCCTGAGCAAGGCCCTTAACCCCAGCTGCTCCAGGGGCGCTGTACAATGGCTGACCCTGCGCTCTGACCCCCAGCTTCTCTCCCTGTCTGTGTGTCTCATGGGGAGCAAGCTGGGGTCTGTGAAAAGACAGTTCCTAATGCAAGAAATTGTATAGGGCTGATAAAGTGATGTTACATTATGAGATGACCCTGCCCCTCCCAGCACCTGCTCTGCTACAGTGCTACACTGCACCCCGAGATGCACCCGTGCAAATGTGCTCCAAATCAGGCTCCCAGCACAACAGGCACGCAGGCAGGCCGTTCCTTTTCTGCTCTGTCGGCGTGCACAACTAAAACGCTCTGCTTGTGCCTCTAATTCCCCCTTGGCTTGGCTGATTTGAATGCCAGATCTCTCTGTCTGACCGGGGGTTGGAAAACGTCTCTGCTCAAAGAGGTGCCTGCCGATTGCATTGGCGGTTTGGGTTTTTCCCTGTATGAATCCAAAAATGAAAGCCGTGACGCTCTGTGACAATTGTTTGGGTACAGGCCCCGATGCATTGTTTTCAAAAGTACGGCTCATATTTTAAGCCTGTTGTGGATAGTTAAACAGGTTAAAATCACCAAGTTAACACAAACTCTTTAAATGGAAAGGGTGGTGTCTTCAC